TTTTATCTTGTTACGTGTATTATTTATAATACAATAATAATTTTTTTCATTACGGTTTTTTTTGTTACAGACTGTATTTGACTTATTCTAACGTTACGTAGCGGTAGTACGTAACTGTTGATTTCCGAATAACTGGCATAGCATTCATAGACCCATTGTGAAATAGAACCTATTCAAGAGATAAATAACACAAGAACATCTTAATTCTTCGTTTTCTCTGACGTTTCTTCCAATACGCGATTCCAACAACAGTCAATAAGGTCGACACTATCAATGTTACAGCAATTAATCCAATTTATATCGGAAAATCTTTTGGATTTCATGTGTCTTCATGCGTTCTTATTTGTTGTTCTAATTTGCAATTTTTCTCTGCTGATTTCGTTAACGACGATAGATAAAAAATTACTGTCACTACGCCGCCGCACTCATATTATTCGCTATCAGCATATTTATTTACGGGTTTTCTTTATCAATATTTAAAAGGCGTATTATGCTGGTTTATTTTGGAATAGTTCTGATAATGAAGACGTAAGATAGGGATCGTTAAAAAACAAAAATACATTTGACTCAAGCTTTTGCTCGCCTTGATTCATTCCGACCATGTCGTAATTTATATTCTTTAAAATACACGCCATAATCGTTTTGAGTAATCATGACATTTGACATTCTACATTCTTCTTATCAGCCGCTGTACTTTCATCTTATCACGATCTAAACCAAGGTTTTACATATTAAGAATCAAAAACTAGTGACTTCCGTAAATATGTTTAAACTCAATCTTTCAGATAAGATAAGCTTACAACTAATGATGAGCATAGCAAACTGCATTTATTGTAGTTAGTTCCTTCTGTCAAAATGTATGTTAAACAAATTACCGTTACAAATTCTTCATTTAAACTAAGAATTTGCAGGCAAAGCACTTGATCTTTTCAAGCTCTATTAGGTCAATATCGACATTCAACATTGTTTTCTTCAAATAAGATCTCTAACAAGGTACATGTATATTCGGAGATAAGTTAAAATACCCCCGAAATCTCTTTTAAACACACACAATGTTCTCGAATCGTGACTGTAAAATAAACACCAATCAACAGGGAGTCATTTGATTATGTCAAATCGAAGTACAAGTACACTTAGGTACAAGTAGAACAATTCCGCCTCGTTTAATATTTTCCATAGATATCACGATATATAGCGATAGCATTTGTGTACAAGATGCGATTGCTAAACTAAAATAATTGACTTTATTGTTAGATTAGATACCAAGATTCTGCGGTACAAGATAGAAAACCTTGCACATGTGCAATGAGAACACGATCACAACGTATTAGATAGTGTAGTGACACTTCATGGAAATTCTCCGAAATTTCCCCGTATACCTTAATTACCCTAATAAGTTCTAATCTACATGAGAAAGACGTTAGCGTGTGAATTTTGTGCAATGCACAAAAAGTGGATTAGCGCGATAAGAGAACATGTGATCAAGTGGTGTTGAAGTATTTTATTCATTTTACGTAAAATAAAGTGTGAAATTCAGCACCAAATTCAAAAAAATTTAGTCACAAACACGCGAGAATTGTGCGACCTAATAATGCCATTGGCTGGTTAGTGATGATAAGAAAGTTAACATAGTTCAAATGCAAATTTGACGAGATAAGAATATTATGTGCATGTGTATTCTGTGCAGCGAGATAAAGTTGAGCACTGCTAATTTTTAATGCTCGCGGAAAAATACCTGATTTCTCGTGCCGTGACAAAGCTATTTAGTGAATGTTCGAATATGTATAAATAGACAAGGACGACTATAGCTAAAGTTTTTTTTCATCGGCATTCATTTTAATGAACCAAGATCTTAACGAACTAGCCGAATTTTTTTTAACAAAACATAATCACTATAATTATAATTTAAACACTAAAAAATGGCTAAAAACGTTCTTGATCAAGGTGTTGGTTATGGAATAGGTAATTAATTAATTAGATGTCATAAATAATGTATTTTCGTTTAACTATGGGCTCAAATTAAAGAAAAATCATTATTTTTATTTTTTTCTCTATTCAGTCCTCGGATTCGGAGCATTCTTTGCCATAGTAATGTCACTTTTGACACTTGCACAAAAACGATATTTGAGTGAATACCAGACAAGTGAAATGTTTATGACAGCACATAGATCAGTGAAAACGGGTTTAGTCGCCTCTGCTGTTGTTTCATCATGGACATGGGCTGCTACCCTACTTCAATCCTCCACAGTCGCTTATAAATATGGTGTCTCTGGTCCATTTTGGTATGCGTCTGGTGCTACGGTCCAAGTTTTGCTTTTTGCGATTTTGGCAATAGAATTGAAACGTAAAGCACCAAACGCACATACATTCTTGGAAATTATTAATGCTCGATATGGGAAAGCTACGCATATAATTTTCTTATTCTTCGGTTTGGCCACTAATAGTAAGTATGTCTTGATATAATAATACCAATTGAAATATTTTTTATTAAACAAATTAATAATAAGTTCCTTTACTTTCATCCACACTTAAGTGATCGTAACCGCAATGTTGTTGTTAGGTGGTTCTGCTGTAGTCCATGCCATTACAGGGATGAATGTTATCGCGGCTTGTTTCTTATTACCTTTGGGCGTCATTGTCTACACACTATTTGGCGGTCTAAAAGCAACTTTTCTTACGGATTACGTCCACACAACTGTAATTTTTATCATCATTCTTTCATTCGTATTTACTGTCTACGCATCAAACGAAACAATTGGTTCTCCAACAAAAATGTACGAGCTTTTAGAAGCTGCCGCGAAAAGCCGTCCAGTTAAAGATAACCAAGACGGTTCTTATGTGACAATGCGCTCATTGCAAGGTTTAATTTTCGGTATCATAAATATTGTTGGAAATTTCGGGACTGTGTTTGTCGATAATGCTTATTGGCAACGTGCTATCGCTGCGAGACCTTCGAGCACAGTAAAAGCTTACTTAATTGGTGGGTTGGCTTGGTTTGCCATTCCATTTACGCTTGCTACAACAATGGGTATTGCTGGTGTTGCTCTGGAAGCGGCTCCAAATTCAGGTTGGCAAAATCTGACCGACGCGGATGTTTCTGCCGGATTGGTTGTTCCGAATTCTGCAACTACTCTTTTGGGTAAATCTGGCGCTTTTGCTGTATTAGTATTGGTGTTTATGGCTGTAACGTGAGTTTATTTTTTTTACATTTTTGCGTTTTGTTGAACGAATTAACTAACTAACTTACTTAATGATAGGTCTGCTTTATCTGCTGAACTTATTGCAGTCTCCTCTATATTCACTTATGATATCTTTCGCGCTTATATTCGTCCTGGTGTAAGTATTTATTATATTCGTTTATTCTCATTGGTATCTAAACTGAACTAATTATTACATTTTTTCCTGATAGGCTAATGGCAAACAAGTTATTCACTTTTCACATCTTTCTGTTGTCTGCTTTGGACTTTTCATGGGTGTCCTTGCTGTGATTCTTAACGCTATCGGAGTAGATCTGGGATACATGTATTTGTTAATGGGAATTATCTCATCACCTGCTGTAGTACCAGTAGCATACACATTGACATGGAAAAAGCAAACAAGCACTGCAGCAATTGTAGCAGCTTTATTCGGTGTCGTAGCTGGAATTTCATGTTGGTTAGGAACCGCTCAAGCATTGCATGATGAAATTTCTTTGAAATCAACCGGCGAGAATTATCCAATGTTGGCTGGAAATCTGTATGTATCTCCGCTGTGTTTGTGTTATTTTTCTTTTTTGAGTCGAATGAAAGGTTTATTAACTTGAATTTATAAATTATCTTTAGAGTTTCTCTCATTTCATCTGGACTAGTAGCAACACTCTTGTCACTTGCGGCACCGGACGACTTTGACTTTACCGTCACACGAAACCTCGAACAACTAACGGATGACGAAGTAGCTGGCAACACCGTACCATTGGATCCAAAAGAAACCGATCCAGTTCGATTAAAGAAAGCAACTCGATTTGCCGTTTGGAGTTCAGTTATCTTAACTATTGTGTTGATTATTATCTGGCCATTACCAATGTACTTCTCGTCTTACGTCTTTTCGAAACCATTTTTCACATTTTGGGTTGCGTTGAGTATTATTTGGGCTATTTGTTCGACGATTGCTGTTGCTTTATATCCGGTAAGTTGGTGTCTGTGTTTATTTTCATCGAACGATGTCTTTGAATTATACTGAATTATTTTCTTTTCTAGCTTTGGGAATCGAAAGATAATATCAGCAATGTGTTTAAAGGATTGCTTGGAGATATTAGCGGTAACCCATCAATGGTCACTTCTATACAAGAAGCCAGCAACAAGGCAAATCTATCCGAGAAAGCCAGCGACAAGGCAAATCAAACCGAGAAAGTGTAACGTCTATTTTTTGGATTCTAGAGAATTCACGATATTCATATGTAGCTATAATAGTTACATAATTGTAATTTTAGTATTTATTATAATGTTTAGAATTATTTATTACGAATAAAACCTAAATTTTGGGATCGACACTAGCGCTAGTAGAGATATTAAAAAATTTAATTTCGATTATTCATTTTACTTAAGCCAATAAATCGTGTTCATACATTATCGTTATAAGAATTTCTCGTTTATCATATAGCACTGCGCAAAAATTTCTGGCGTGATATTTTCTATACGTAATTGGAAGGTAGGCTTCAGAAAAATTTAGGTTCAAATATCAAAAACTTTTTGGGTTATCATTATGCACCAAACCTTCTTTTACATGTATGTGCACTTTCGCGGTTAACTTCAATCCAATTCTGAAAATGGAAATTTATTGTGAATTTTGAATTCAAGTACATACTTTAATTTTAAAATTTTATAATTATTAGAATACATTTTTGTAAATTCTACTTAAAGAAATGCAGCTAACCACACTTAGATTGTTAATTGTATAAATCATCTTGCTCTCAATGACAAGGTTTATTTATCAAGTTTTTTTTTTACTTTCATAGATAAAGCAAAAAGATTATATTATTAAAAAGAAGAAACACAAATTTTAAGTTGTATATAGTCGTTTTAGTATATACAGACCCCGAACAACTTTCCGAAAATTATGTGTTCTGAGCACAAAGAACATCACAAACGCTGATCATTGATACCTTAGATCTATATCAGGTATTGTAGCATAAATCTGATTGGTTGATCTTCGAAATGTATCACTGCATATAAATATATAAATAAAAGATGATTATCCAACTTTAAATGGGCTCGCAGCCACAGAGACGAATTCGCAGACAATAAAATTTTTTCGACTTAGTATTGTACGTTGTAGTTATATTCTATACAATGTTAAAGTAATTTGGAAAAAGGTGAAGTAATTCGGAAGTTAGCTATAGAGAAGTTTTTGCAATTTGGTACTTCAGAATTAGAATTTTGACAAAATAAAATATATGTATATTAATTTATTATTTATTTTATAGATGTTGCCTGTACTTATCGCATTATTATCGTTATCGTTTATCATCCCTTATTCATTAACGTTAAAGTATGCTATTTTATCAACCAATAGAATTTTAGCAAAATTAAAAATGATCTACAAAAATTAGCCAATCACAAAGAAAGCCCGCTAGGTATTAACTTTCATACTCCAAATACAATAAATCGATCACTTTAGGACATAATTTCTCAACTCCAGTGATCCGATTTGAACAAAAATATTACGATTCGATTTATCACAAAACATATATATATATAGTGGTATTTTCGCTCAAACTGGATCACTGGATGTCCTAATATAACAAACTAACGCTAAAGTGACCGATTCATATTCGTCGATCAATTTTTATTAGAAATGATCGCCAAAAAATGAATCTGATCCTATTCGAACAAAAATAATACCATTTGATTCGTCTAGTCAAGACAAATCGAATGTTATAAATTATGTTTATTTGAATCGGATCATTGGAGATCGAGATATACATGTATATCACGTCCTAAATTGGGGGAACGCTAAAGCAAGGTAGTGGATTAGAATGCAATCCGGATCTAATTCGATCCGAACCACATGATCTTCATAA